CAATAGGAAAGGTCCCAGTATCTTCATTAAGTCTTACACAGACTGTAGCATGCTGATAGATGTATCTGATGAGGGATATGTATCGGTGATCTATTCTTCATTGTGTTAGAGCTTGGAGCATTTTACTTTGATTGACCGTATCAAATGCTTTTTCAAAGTAGACAAAAAGTATCAGGGATCTATTATATTCAATGATTTCTTTAATTAACGACTTAATGGTTTTCAAATGATCATTTGTTCTATATCCAGCTCTAAATCCTGCTTGCTCGCAAAATTGATAGAAGTCCAGTTTTGATGTCAACCTATTAGCTATTATCTTCATAAACAACTTATACACGTAAGATAACAAGCTAATAGGTTATAGTTCTTTAGCTCTAAGTTCATTATCTTCTTTTTTATGCATGACTACTATAACAGCTTATTAACTGATTGTAATCTCTTTTGAAAGACATAAGTTATATAATTGTGTCAACGCTTTTAATACTGTCTTTCCTCCTGCTTTAACTGCCTCAATAACTATTTGGTCATCACCAGCTGCTTTATTGTTTTTCATTCGATTTAATGACTTTGAGACTTCTTCGATTGTTATTTCTGGGATATCCTCTGAACCCACATTCTGGACTTTTCTCAACTTGATGTCGTGTTTCTTACCCCTTTCTCATATAATTCTGTGTAAAATTCCATACCTTAATTATCTTATCTTTAACTGTTACCACTTTTCTATTTCGATCTGCGAGCTTAACTCGAGCTTCTCCTTACCTAGAGCTTGACATCTCTTCAGCACCTTTAAAATTTTATTTTCCTAGACAACCGTTGTAGACAATCTTTTTTGTGTTATATAGTCGTACTTCGTTTCTCACTGCTTTATTAAGTTCTTGTAGTATATATTTGTTGTCTTTAGACATATCAGAATTTCACCTTCGAATGACATGGTGTTTTCGATTGGATTCCATCCTATTAGGTGTGCTTTTGTTATCATTTTGTATCTTTGTTTTTGGAGATTTAACACGATGAAGCTCTTACCATTCTATGATCATTTCCACTGAACAGCTATTAAGAACTGTTACATCATGGACCATGTCTTTGTTGTTGGTTAAGACAAAATCAATTTCATTTTTGGTGACTCCATCTGGACTTGCCCAGGTCCATTTACTTTGGGGACTTTTTTTGAAAAAGCTATTCATTGCAAAGGGGCTATTTCGTACCAAGAAACCCAAAAACATTTCGCCTTTTTCATTTTTTTGTCCGAATCCGTACGGACCTATTGCAACTTCGTCCCGTCCAGTTTACATCCCAACTTAGCATTAAAGTCACCCATTACTAGGTTGTGTGTAGTAGGCGCCAGTTTTACTGCATTTTCTAGGTCGTCATAAAAGGTTTCCACTTCCTCGTCCGAGTGTGTAGATGTAGGTACATAGGCTTAAATTATTTTAAGGCTGGTTTTTTATAGCCTAAACTAGCAATAGTGTTTCGTTAAAACTCAATTATCAATCATTTCAAATTTACTGCCTAGAATATTGAAACTTTACTGTAACTAATAAAGCAGTTAAATCCTTTCCTGAATATGGAACTCAGAAACCTTTTAGGCAGAATTAATATGAGTCAATGACTCAATACAAAACAAAAGTTAAATGGTAAATCTTCCTTTCTGCATCAATCGCCTTATTTACTCTTTATAATGTATTTTGTCAAAAATATTATTTTAATAAAAATTAACTTAAGACCTTTATAATCAATTATTATGTTTTTAGATTCGTATGAGCCTCATGATCCGCCAGTGGTGAAATGAGAGGTGGTCCTGTAGTAGCGGCTGCTTGTCGCCATGAACCATAGATGGGGGCATTCGGGGGCAGCAGCCGTCTTGGTTTTGGGATTCGTCGCCAGCGAACTCGCTGCCGGTTCTACTGCCTCTACCCTTCCGCCCCAAGTTAAGATAGGTAAGCGTTTAAGCATTCATGATGTAGATGAGGGTTGAAAGTTGACTTTGTGAAAAATAGCGAGACGGTTTTATATTTCTTCTAAAAAATATGGTTTTTGTCTGGAGAACAGCGTTTTGTGAAAACAACTTCCAAAATAAATTAGTTTAATATAACAAAAAGTTATTTTTCGAAGGAGGGAAAAGGAAATATTTGGAAATATAAAAAATTACTAGATCAGAATCTAAATTAATCGCTCATTTTGAAATGGGCCACGTCTACTTTTTTAAAATTCACAGGAGAGGTAAAAAACTTCTTATCTTTATTTCTATTAAAAACCTAATTGTTTTTTATATGTATTTTTTGGTTTTATGATTGACTATATATACCGAGGAATATTATTAAAAGATATTTTTTAATTTTAAAAGACCTAGAAACCGAATTTTTCTGTAAAGGAGATGACCCATTTTCAAAGTTAACATGTAATAAAAGTTAATTTAGGGAGTTTCATTGATATTTTTGTTTTATTAGACATAAGTGCTGCTCCCACTCCATCAGCTATAGTTTTAGAGGCATCGGTATATAATATAAGAATATCGTTACTGCATGTCTTGAGTTTTTGGAGTACATATTGATAGAATGCTTTGGAATGGTTATCTGCTTTTTTATATATGGAGAGTTTGGTATTGATAGATGGGACAGTGTTAATATCTGATATACAATAGGTATCTGGAAATCTGGAGGTATCTATTTACCCTTTTATAAAAAGGAAGTTCAAGCCTAGCATGTGTTTTAAAGACATTCCTAAAACGGTTTGAATTCACATAGTGGTTTACAGGATTCATAGAATTTGCCTGTATTGATGCCGCATATACTAGTAAAAGTTGTTTTCTTGGAATTCCAGGGGACTCTAACTTCACAGTGTAAACTTGCAGTAGGACTAATATAAAAGGCAGCTAGTAGGGCTCGCAAAGCACTATTTTGTACTAGATCGAGTTGTTTTATGATATATGGTTTTGCTGAATCATAAATAATACAAGCGTTAATCTAGTTTGGACCTGATCAATGACTTGTACAGAAGGGTCAGTGTTTTATTATCTGCTCCCCACTTGGGGATTGCTGGATTTCACGCCTTGTGCTTGGCCGATACAAACAGGTCCAAGTGGTAGTCACAGAACCGTACCCAGATCTCTACGCCGGCTCTGTTATTTATTATAAAATAATATATTGATAAAATAATTGCCTTCAAGAAGCCAAACAAGAGGCATGAATTTGAATAAAAAGACCTTAAGTTTTTAGCGAGAATTTTATTATAAAACTATATACTTTATTAAACTAACAAATGTATTTTAAATTACATTTCTTGATAGCTATAAATATACCGGGTAGAACCTCCGGTAACTCGATTTCCGTGCACCCAGCCCAATATCCAAGAAAAACTTTTCTTTTGTAAATATGTGAAAAATTATCAGGAACGGGAATATCGAAAAAGCTTTGCACATTTTTTAATCCCGGCGATGTTATTAAAAAAACAAGTTGCGCACTTGAATCACTGCGAAATTTTAACACCTACTATGAAATTTTTTTTTGTGGAAATCTGAAGTGCAGTTTTTGTCCTTGTTAAAACATAATGCAGTCTCGCATTTTTTACACACAACATAAGTTTACCTAGTTCCTTGGCATAGCAACCTGGTAGTTTTCAGCGAAACCTTGTGTTATTCCATATGGGATAATGGTTTTCCTTGCCCACACTTGACCAGATGAGCAGGTATAAGGTTTATAGTGTAAGTTATTTAACATGATATTATATTTATACTTTATTAAACTAACAAATATATTTTAAATTACATTTCTTGATAGCTATAAATATACAGGGTGGAACCTCCGGGAACTCGATTTCCGTGCACCGTGCATTTCGATGTCGGATTCGCTTTCGCTACTCTCCCTGTATTCGCGTGTATTATCAATTGGTCTACGTCATCTTGCAGGTTGTCCGCAGTCCACATCTCAGTTTCCGTTTTCTCAACAACATGAGTGACATAATTGCGCCAATTTTGCTCTGTGACGCGTGCGAAACCGTCGTCGATCAACTGGCGTACCTCGTCGTTTTTAAAAGTGGTATTATGGGTACCTACATATCGCTTAACTTGGTTCCACACCATTTCTATAGGATTCAATTCGCAGTGATATGGAGGAAGCCTTAAAATATAAACATTATGTTGTGAAGCATACTCATCAAGATGATACTTATCGTATTGATCTTTAAAAGCACGCGCTGCTTCTAATAGCTCGTATTTCAAATAACACTCCTCGAAAAAAATGTCTTTTTCCACTAGCCATTCCTTGATTGCAGCTTTATTCCAGGAATTGTTAGGGAATCTCTCTTTACGGGAGTGGTACGATGCATTGTCCATTACAATGACATTCCTGCGACCATTATTTGGTAAATTTGATATTAATGTCTCCTTAAACCACGACTCAAAATATGCGGCATCCATTTCATCGTGATAGTCGCCATCATTTTTCTTTGCCAGAAAAACACGCTGTGTGCCAGGAAGGAAACCTCCTGAAAAACCTGCATGCAATAAAACATATCGTGGACCTCGTTTAGTAGGTGCTTTTAAGCCAGTACTTAAACCTTTGAGAAAAGCATCACGACTGTTTTGTATCGTAGTATCGCACCATTCGTAATTTATAGATTGGCCAACATTAACCCACGATTCGTCCAAATATATGATATTGCAATGGTCTTTTCGCAAACGTCGTATAGTTCTCAAATAATTATGGCGCCAATGAATAATATCCTCTCGCTCCACCATGATGCTTCTTCGGCCACGTTTCTTATAAACAAATCCAATATCTTTCAGAAGTCTGTATAAAGTAGAAAGAGACAACGGCTGTATATTCTCATTACCTTGTATGAAGTTATGTATATGCTTTAAGAATGGCGGCAAATTTTTCATGAAAAATTCACAATGAACAATTCTCCGTAGAATACTTCTTACACCCTCGTCATATGTGAATATTCTAGAATTTGATTGACACACTCGTTTTTTACGTTTTTTTGGCGATTTCAACGTTCCACTCTGTTCTTTTTCTTTTTTGAAATTGTAAATGCTTCTTTCGCTAACACCAGTCATCAACGAAGTACGTCTTACAGCAGCACTTACATTAAGTTGTTCCGTATTTTGTAAAAAACACAACACATTTAACACTACGAGTTTAGCGCAACCGTTAAATAATTCACCGGATTTAAACTTATGGGACTCCATGCTCTCTGTTGAAACTCGGACTAAATTTTGAAGTGTAGTTTCGTTTTCCAAAAGCACTTTCACCCCCTACCCATCCTTAGGATGGGTAGGGGTGAAATAGGGAAAGCTTGGAGTTTATCAAATACTAATTATGACAAACAAGTTTATGGCCATATTTAGGTGATTATGTTAATGATGGTAATTTGTAGCAGAAGTTTTACAAAAGAAATGAAGACCTATTTATAGAAACAACATAACTGTATTTTTAATATTTTACATACAATAGAAAAAATCTAATTTCTATGAAAGAATTGGAAATTTGAATATTATATATAATATCTATAAATAATATCATTTCCAAGTTTCCAAATTCTTTCCTAGAAATTATGTAGGTTTTTTCTATTTTATGTAAAACATTAAAACTACAGTTATTGTATGTTGTTCTTGTAAAGAGGTGTTCAAATGTTACTCTTATGAATATGATTCAATTGTATATCTCATGTTGACGTTTTATATGCAAAATTCATAGTTTTCGTTGTCAATAACTCATCAATGCCTTTTTATTCTACTGTATACGTATACATGATATAAAATATTTTACTCGTACTGCCGGCAGATGCATTTTATCCAAGCCGGTCCTGTGAGACAATGAGCAATCAACAGCTGGAGAAAACCGACAACCCTGCGCGTTTATTCTCCATAAGAAAAGCATTGCCGTATCTTACCCGTACTGCACTCTCAGTGTGACATTTTCTATAGACATTTAATTTTCTCAATATATTTTATTTCTTTATGAAATAATTTTAATTCTGAAGTGATATAACTTCTTTTTTTTTAATAACATATCCTTTGATTTTGTTTGTTGATAATTGAAGACTTGTGGAATTTATCCATAATTTTAATTTTGTTATTTTTAATTTTTACTTAATAATGAAACTTGTAAATTTATATTTAAAAAACGTTTATACATTTATATAAGTGCAAGACGAGTATTCTCCAAGCTACGATTCTGGATCCATGCCGAATCACTACAATATTTTATACTAACTATAATAAATTTAAGACGTGGCTACTAATAACTCCAAAGAGTGCTTGGAAATAAAAATTAAATGTCCTGTAGCAAATTACGAGAGGAACCATAAAATTTACTACCGTGAACAAGTTTATATTCAGCTTGCAAAAATTTCAAGCCCGTTGATTGCAGGACAAGATAATTTTGCCCTTTGCCATTTTGTCAGTTTTCAAAAGAAAGAAATATCGGCAACGCGTTAACGGTCATTCACTTTTTTCTTTCAACTGACTGAGATCAATTTAGGGTTATTGCTTTCTATCCTCCAAATTATGGTATATCCGTTAAAAAATCAATAACTGTACAGAGGCCTCTACGGAAGTTGAACAACTGACTAATTAAAATTATAATATTTAAGCAAATATTATGAGAAATACGGCAAAGTTACATTAATATTTATTAGGCAAAAAGATTATTGAATAAAATATTTCTTAGACTTTTAAATGTTTTTTAATATAATATAATTGTTGGAAGTTTGCATCATGATGTAGCTATTCTTTTGTCGCATTTGTCCTGCTATTTATATGAATTTTATTCAAAACAGCCTGTTATAAAAGGTATCCATTATGAACAATCATTTTACTTTTGATATAGAGTTTGTGTGTGTGAAGAGAGGTATAGATGGTAGATGACAAATAATCTTTTTGCCAGAGAAAATTGTTATAATGATAGAAAAGGTTTCATAATATATATTGTACCGG